TTTTTTTTTTTTTGCAGTTCAGCAATGCTGTCCAGAATTGTTGCCATTTTGATGCTGATAATTCCATATTTATATGCTTCTGAAGAAATGTTCTGGTTGACAGCTGAACTGATGAACGTTGAATGGCGAAAAGGCTGCCTGACTACCGGTGGTTGTGCTGATCCACGATTTAAGCTAACCGAAACCAATGTGGCCAGCAATGAGCAAGTCTCGATCAGTTGGTCAATTTTAGACGATTTCAACCAGGTTAGGTTGAAATTATCTGCCTCATCTTTTCCCGCTGTCGCTATTACCGCAACCCCCCCGTCCCTCCAAAAGAAAAAAAAAAGAGAGAAGGAAGGAAGAAAGAAGAAAAAAAATGAAAGAAAAACAAATTTTTTCTTTTCACTATGAAAAATTCATTTAAGATTTATATGGGAGGGAAATTTGAATGTGACACACAATGAATAGTATCATCAGTGAAGTAAGATAAAGGAGGGGAAGGAACAGAGATGATAGATTTATCTGTTGAAAATTAAAGAAGACGATGACGAGGAGGAAGAAAGTGGAAAGAAAAAAGCCTACATTTTTGATATGCCTATAAGATATTTCTTGTTTCACGAAATCTGAAGTACATAGGTTTCATCTTTCAGTGAAACCACTATTATATATTATTTTTTTTTTTTTTTGGTACACAACAATTGCAGATGTGTATAATCACGAAAATATTGTTGGATAAGGCCGATTTTGCCTATTCTATACATTTTTGGCACTTTTACTGTCAATTTTTTTTTTACTTTCAACAATTTGTTGTTTTACTTTGTTACAAACTAAGAAAAAAAAAGAAGATAAGAAACAGAACACATTGTAAATAGTTGAAAAAAAAAAACAGTAAAATAACATTTTTCTTATTGCTTTTTTTATACTCAATAATTTTTTTTAATCTTATTTTGTGTCTTTTTTTTCCTTTTGCTTCTAATTTCTGATGGTTTTCAAAAAATAATTAGTTGTTGATATCGCTAATCAGTCTTTTTTTCTTTTCTTTTCTGAGAAAGCACAAATTTTTGGCACAAAAAAGTGGTTTATTCAATTATAGTTTATAGTTTGTCTGCGAATGTATGTTTAATTTTAGGGCTTCTTTTTTTTTTGGGGTTTAACAGGTGGGAAAAAAAAACAAAGCTTTTTGAATCAGTGTATTGTTTAAGATAAATGTTGTCTATCCTTCCCTCTGCGCAGTTAATTACCACTGTTTACATTCTATTTATTTGTTTTTTTTTTTT